TATATATATATATATATATATATATATATAATATCATTTTTCGAAACTGTTTATCCAGTTTTCTTGTAAATATAAAATTATCCAGTTAAAATAATTATTTTGGGACAGGAAATAAAACGAGAAATGGAGACAGGAAGAAAAATTGAAGAACAAATTAAAAATCCCCAAGAAAAAGAAAGAATGAGAGAAATGAGAGTGAGAGCAAATTTGAGCAAAGCTAAGAGAGAGAGAGAGAGAGAGAGAGAGAGAGAGAGAGAGAGAGAGAGAGAGAGAGAGAGAGAGAGAGAGAGAGAGAGAGAGAGAGAGAGAGAGAGAGAGAGAGAGAGAGAGAGAGAGGGAGATTAACAAGGACAAAGTAAAAACCAGGGAGACAGTAAGTCAAAGTGTCGGGGAGACAAAGATTGCTGACGGAAAAAGAGCTTCAAGAGTATCTTATGAAGTTCTTGAAGCTCTTAGGGATGGTTACCCAACAGACAAAAGTCAGATCACGACGCTGAAGACAATCTTCATCCCGCGAGGCACTCAATGATGACCCACCACAGTGCGGTGAAGTGTATAGTCCAACGCTACTGTGTTGGCTAGTCAAAATCTTGCTGGTAAAGCTTATCTTCAGCAGCCTGCCTCCGCCACACAAATCTCATTAGTCTTCATTACGTAGAATTGATCAAGGGCCAAGACACAATCTGTGTCTTGGATAGGTCTCTGTGCTTTGAACAAGCACAGAGACCTATCAACAGAATAGGACTCGGTTGTCTTAAATATGGTCTGGAACACGCTATTCAAAAATTTATAAATCTGTTGCGATTAAGATCCGAACCACAAATTCGCTTCACAATTAAACAAAATGTAAAATTGGATTGGGTAGCAAAAACTAATTATGGAAGTGTGACAAGTAGAGAATCTTTGATAATTAATTAGATGTGATACATTAAGTTAAGATCAACTAGAAGACACAACTTCATGGCAAAACTAATGATTCGATCCAAACACAACAAAGTCAGAACTGTCTACCCTCACGCAATGATATCCACCTGATAGTGGATAATGATATCCATCTAAGAGTGGATAATGATATCCACCTAAGAGTGGAGTAGGAAATGTATATGTTTATATCTCAGAATGTTTGGTAATATGTTTATTGTTTGTGATGTGTGTCTATGTATGTATTAACACATTGTACTGAACGGGGTGAGAATAGCTTGAGCTACCTCATCCCTTTGTGTGTATTTTACCTCAATAAACTTATTTCAATTTCAATTTCAAAGAGTGGATAATGATATCCACCTACCCTGATATCCATCACGCAATGATATCCACCGAAGAGTACGCCACCCTGGCACAAATCACTCGAAAATAAGAACTCAAACAAATGGAAATTTATTAATAAAACGGAGCCATTAGGAGCCACACATGGACGTTTATTTCGATAAGAAAGTAAGATTCATGGGACGAAACAAAACCTTGAATTACTTGTACCTTGAATTCAAACTGGTACTGCATCCCTAGTAATCAAGATCATCTTTACCGAAACCTGAACGAATGATTTATCATCATTAACTAAAAGGACCTTTTTAACGAACGCTTCCAAAAAAAAGATAGACATGGAGACAATTGAAGATACAAATATCTTCAAGAACAATAAAACGTAGATTTAGTTTCTACTCAATGATACATAAGGTGCACCTCAACAGGTCATTTATACACGTTGATTTAGAAGATTTATTTTTCAGTGTTTTATATAAATCACTACAGATGTGTCTGAAGTCAACATGCTTACATTTGTAAAAGCGTAAATCTTACAATTGTAGCGGTGAAATTTATAATGTCAAAGCATACAGCATAACATTAGAAGGATGAAAAAACAAACTTACATACAACGTTGATTATTCAGTTAAACACTCCACTCAAACAGCTGCAGCTTTCTAATAAGAACTTCAAGACACGACCACCACCTTGCCACACCCCCGTCACCATCAATATCACCACAGATCACTGCCACAAGCACAACAAACACCTTTCAAGCCGTAAATTAAGGTGTTAATTAATCTTCGTTCCTTCGCTCGCCAAGAGAATTAGAGCAGAAAAAATAATCCTAGTAGTTTCTATTTCGTGGTATCTCATGGTCTTTTACTCGGGCCATTCCGTTAGGCAAAAAAAATAAAAGTTTCACACCTCGAATTTGTAATAAGCTTTCGTTTATTTCAGAAATTCAGTTGGAAATAGATATATTTCTGCAACAAACCACAGATGTTATTTTAAAGTTTTCTCGTTGATTTTCATTTTTATTTTAATGCACATTTGTATCTGTTTATTGTGTGTAGCTTTTTGTCTAAAATTTATTAATGTTTTGTATGTTGTTGACGTTTTTATGTGAATTTTCATGTTTTATAAATATTTACCAATTCCAGCGCGACTCCAAGCAGCATTTTGGGCCATAATTAAGTCTTACCTCTCACATAAGGTCTATCTCCAAGACTTACATACCTGCGGTGCTAGGGATCACCCCATTGGCTTATACAGTACTAATACCACTCCACCAGCGATTCCCTATACGTGATGGAAGGTCTTGGATCTCACATGCCTTCACACGATTTCCATGGCCAACACCCGGCAACTCTCATACTGCTGCTTGGATACAGTTTTCCATCAAATTCTAGCGCATGCTTGGGTCAAGCTGAGCCTACAAGTGTGAGACAAAGCTTAAATGGTCCCCCAAGCCATAAACCACTAAGAACTCTTTGACCACACCTTGGTGGGCTTATATAGCCTTCCATACAACGCAATGTTATGGGCCCTTGGACCTGTCCGACCACCACGACGGCCACTACCACATCCTCCGCCATGCAACCAGGTGTTATGGACCCCTAGTCCTAGCCCGCTGGGACGGCTGCTACCGCACCAGTCCTCCACACAATCAGGTATTAGGGGCCCCTGGTCCTGCCCCACCGGGACGGCCACCACCACACCAGTTCTATACACATGTTGATCACAAAAAGTGGCCATTGTTGATAGTGCTGCGGGAGGAGCCATTTGTTTGGCATGTGTCAACAGGCCCCTATATATATTATATATATATATATATATATATATATATATATATATATATATATATATATATATATATATATATATATATATATATATATATATGTCGTACCTAGTAGCCAGAACTCACTTCTCAGCCTACTATTCAAGGCCCGATTTGCCTAATAAGCCAAGTTTTTCTGAATTAATATATTTACAATAATTTTTTTCTTATGAAATGATAAAGCAACCCTTTTCTCTATGTATGAGGTCATTTTTTTTTATTGGAGTTAAAATTAACGTAGATATATGACCGAACCTAACCAACCCTACCTAACCTAACCTAACCTATATTTATAGGTAAGGTTAGGTTAGGTAGCCAAAAAAAGCTAGGTTAGGTTAGGTTAGGTAGGTTAGGTAGACGAAAAAACATTAATTCATGAAAACTTGGCTTATTAGGCAAATCGGGCCTTGAATAGTAGGCTGAGAAGTGCGTTCTGGCTGTTAGGTACGACATATATATATATATATATATATATATATATATATATATATATATATATATATATATATATATATATATATATATATATATATATATATATATATATATATATATATATATATATATATATATATATATATATATATATATATATATATATATATATATATATATATATATATATATATATATATATATATATATATATATATATATATATATATATATTGTATATATATATATAAGGCTTATATATAGATAAGGTAATTGTACCTACTGTATGAATAAAACATTGAATAAACAATAATTGGAATAGGAAATACTCAACAAATTAGTCAGGGAGGAAAAGGACTATCAGAAGAAAGCGTCAAGCCATTACGACTATATAGCACTTGGAAGGGGTCAGGACAAGGATCTGGAATGGGTTTTGAGGGGGAAGGGGAAGGAATTGTGCCCAACCACTTGGACGGTCGGGGATTGAACGCCGACCTGCATGAAGGGTGCAGCCTGACATACAGGTAGTCCTGTTAAGGTGGTTGTTCCAGTGTTACTGAGGCTACCTGTGACATGTTCCTCGTGTCACGGGTGTGACATTACAACGCTGGAAGAGGAAGACACGTTGTGACCATAAGTGTACTCACCTAGTTGTGTTTGCGGGGGTTGAGCTCTGGCTCTTTGGTCCCGCCTCTCAACCATCAATCAACTGGTGTACAGGTTCCTGAGCCTACTGGTTTCTATCATATCTACACTTGAAACTGTGTATGGAGTCAGCCTCCACCACATCACTTCCTAGTGCATTCCATCAGTCTATTACTTTTCCTCTGCCTATGTGTGGTCGTCAGAGACGCTGACCAGTGACGAAAAATATGTTGATGTAACATGATGACGAGACCACACACTAGAATATGAAGGGACGACGACGTTTCGGTTCGTCCTGGACCATTCTCAAGTCGATTCTTGATGTTACATATTCATACATTAAAACATTGACTGTAACCATGATATATATGTGCTTCAGCCTACAGTTTAGACCTATTGTCTGGTGTATGACCCTCTGTCCTGCGACAGTGAATACCAGCATTATCCTCACTTTAATAAGACTTTATTGAAATCCTCAGATTAGGCAAAAATTGTAATTAAATTTTGTTAATAATAATAAAACTTGTAGACAGGAGACTTCTTAAACGTTGCGTGCTTGAGAAAATTGAAACGTACGTTTATTAGTGTTATAAACGTTTTACTCCTGAGAGTATAAAACATTTGCTTGGCGAAAATGGCCTTATTCATGAGCACCAACAAAAACTGCCTCATTTATGCAGACGAACAATGTTTACTGCAGGAGAAAATGAGACTTTCGTTCCGCACTGTCTTCTCATTTTCATATAAGTTATATTTACACGTTCTATAGTGCCAATCGTGGCTCATCGCTCGTTATGGAGGCTGATCCTTACACTCTAGTGAGGGAAGAAAAATGTTTGCTCGATTGCAAGATGTTGTACGTGAAGACAAACCTCTCAGAGTAGCGCAAATGTTTAGGCAAAATAATGACCCGACAAGAAAAGGCTTCCAGGGACGTGAGGTGCGTAGACTTGATAATATATATATTTATACAAATCTGGAAATATCTCTGGTTGGGGTAATTCTCTTATTCTTCTGACAGGGGATTCTCTCCACGGGAGGTATTTTATCAAGCCTTCTTGCCTTGTTTGCGACAAATATGCCTTGAGGTGTAAAGATTTTCGCTTGGCGAGTGTCTGGTTAGTGGAAGGTAAACACTACACTTTCGCTCACCTGCAAAAATCAACGTCTCAAGACGATCCCGACTTTAAATGATTTTTCAACAGGACGGTCTAGGGGGAAATAAATATACAAAACGTATTCAATATTTTACCCCGATGCACTGGATACTCGCTCACGACGATATACAATACACAAGCACGATATGCCGCTGTTGAACATGATCGTTCGACCAAAACGAATATACGAGAGGTGCGTTAAGAATAGGCGGGTCTCAGCTACCAGACCTGAGGGATTACCCCCTTGTTATAGACCTTATGGAGCGATATCTTGTGTTATCCTTTGGGCCTATCGTCGTATCTGATCATCGCCGGCTGTGGTAGTAGCCGGCCCCGGATGGTGAGCGTAGGGAAGGGGGTGTGACTCGGAAAACTTCCCCCCTCCTGGAGGCCTCATAATCCATTTGAGGCTTCATTCCTCATATCATCTTTCTCATCCCAATAACCCACGACTCGCTGAAAGTTTTAGCACTCAAAGGCTTCTTCACTTTAAGTCGGTTCCGGCCTAGTGGACTCACCACCCGTCAACGGTTCAACCTCTAAAGACTCCACCGTAACTACGAGGCTCCTCCACCCACAGGACTCACCACCGAGGCTCCTCCACCCACAGGACTCACCACCGTGGCTCCTCCACCCACAGGACTCACCACCGTGGCTCCTCCACCCACAGGACTCACCACCAGGACTCACCACCTAGGCTCCTCCACCCACAGGACTCACCACCGTGGCTCCTCCACCCACAGGACTCACCACCGTGGCTCCTCCACCCACAGGACTCACCACCGTGGCTCCTCCACCCACAGGACTCACCACCGTGGCTCCTCCACCCACAGGACTCACCACCGTGGCTCCTCCACCTACAGGACTCACCACCGTGGCTCCTCCACCCACAGGACTCACCACCTAGGCTCCTCCATCCACAGGACTCACCACCTAGGCTCCTCCACCCACAGGACTCACCACCTAGGCTCCTCCACCCACAGGACTCACCACCTAGGCTCCTCCACCCACAGGACTCACCACCTAGCCTCCTACACCCACAGGACTCACCACCTAGCCTCCTACACCCACAGGACTCACCACCTAGCCTCCTACACCCACAGGACTCACCACCTAGCCTCCTACACCCACAGGACTCACCACCTAGCCTCCTACACCCACAGGACTCACCACCTAGCCTCCTACACCCACAGGACTCACCACCTAGCCTCCTACACCCACAGGACTCACCACCTAGCCTCCTACACCCACAGGACTCACCACCTAGCCTCCTACACCCACAGGACTCACCACCTAGCCTCCTACACCCACAGGACTCACCACCTAGCCTCCTACACCCACAGGACTCACCACCTAGCCTCCTACACCCACAGGACTCACCACCTAGCCTCCTACACCCACAGGACTCACCACCTAGCCTCCTACACCCACAGGACTCACCACCTAGCCTCCTACACCCACAGGACTCACCACCTAGCCTCCTACACCCACAGGACTCACCACCTAGCCTCCTACACCCACAGGACTCACCACCTAGCCTCCTACACCCACAGGACTCACCACCTAGCCTCCTACACCCACAGGACTCACCACCTAGCCTCCTACACCCACAGGACTCACCACCTAGCCTCCTACACCCACAGGACTCACCACCTAGCCTCCTACACCCACAGGACTCACCACCTAGCCTCCTACACCCACAGGACTCACCACCTAGCCTCCTACACCCACAGGACTCACCACCTAGCCTCCTACACCCACAGGACTCACCACCTAGCCTCCTACACCCACAGGACTCACCACCTAGCCTCCTACACCCACAGGACTCACCACCTAGCCTCCTACACCCCAGGACTCACCACCTACCCTCCTACACCCACAGGACTCACCACCTAGCCTCCTACACCCACAGGACTCACCACCTAGCCTCCTACACCCACAGGACTCACCACCTAGCCTCCTACACCCACAGGACTCACCACCTAGCCTCCTACACCCACAGGACTCACCACCTAGCCTCCTACACCCACAGGACTCACCACCTAGCCTCCTACACCCACAGGACTCACCACCTAGTCTCCTACACCCACAGGACTCACCACCTAGCCTCCTACACCCACAGGCCCAAACTTCCACAAAGGGTTTACCGACACGATGATCCAATATTTAATATCTAAATTCCGAAAGGATTCAACTCTACTTCCAGATATTTCCCCAACCACAGAATATAACACCAATAGGCTCCATAGTCTGGAGGCTTCGTTAAATCACTCGCTGAACTCCCAGAGGCTCTTGTCAAAGCAGCAACACCAATACCAGAATTTCCGTCATCTAGAGACTCATTTCCTCCATATATTAAACAAGCAGAGGCTCCCATACCCAGAGATTCCCTACCAATAGAGACTCCCAAGTAACCTAGATTCTAGAGATCCAACATCTCACCAACTTAATGTTCCACCATTCTTTAGCGCTTCTGTGACCCCTTGGTGTAAAGAATACCCTTAAAATCACCCTTTACCCTAAGAGTCTGGGCTACCCAATATAGATTTCCACTTCCCCAAAGAGTTTCCCCTACCATCTCTCAAGATAAATCATCAAGAGACTCTTCCTCCACCACTAAAAACTCCCCGACATCAAGAAACTCACAAGCCACAACCCGAGCTATAACTTCAGAGGCTCCCCCATCTATTCCCCTCCCTTCTGGAGACTCCAGCCACTGTAAGGTCTCCTGTGAGCCTGGTGAATACGTACCGTGAGGAGAGCTCCGCCCGAAAAGCCCTACTGGTGGGGTAACAATTTGGTTAACAATTTCCGAGGGAGTGTCTGGTGGATTGAAAGGATTTACTTAAGTCAGGGTTTTTCTCCTGTGTCACGTTTGCAGGAGGGAGAAGAGACGTAAGAACGACTCGGTGCTATTTCTGGTTTATTTGTTAAAATAAAATATGACTTTTTTAAAAGGGAAAATTTAATCAGGAATGATATAATTCCTGACCATGGAATGATTTGGTTTAAGAATTTACATTGACAACTCGAATTTAAACTGCTAAGAGATAGAAGTCTGGTGTTCAATGTTGTAGAATTGATAACACATTAAATCCTGTCTAAATCAAATTAGTAACTTTTCATAAACATAAAAACAGTAACAAGAGAAGCGGTACAAAATCTTAGGGATCTATAATAAAAATAATAATATTTAATTCATGCAATATACAATGATCATAGAGTCGATAAAGACTAAGAAAATTAAATGTATATTATATAAAGCCCCGTGTAATAGAAACATGAGGAATATTATAAATATAAGAGAATTCTTGTCTTTTGTTTCCTAACTCTTCGTCTCACCGACTATGCTATTTTTTTTAACCATCTCACTATTCGTGAATGTAACATGTTTTACTTCTGTTCTCAAAGTGGTGATTATGTGTACTGCAATACTGACACTTTTGTCACTTCTGTAATCTTGAGTCATTAAACTAACTTGATATTTAACTTAAGATCTATGTCTCAACTCCTACTAAAACTTATATGTTGTCATTATCGCTCATCTAGTTATCTCGATTCTTCTTCTCCAAATACTAAAAGTGACTTAAGTATTAGGGCCTCATCCCAGAATCAAAGTACAAGTCCACAATCGACTTGAGAATGGTCCAAGACGGACCGAAACGTCGTCGTCCCTTCACTCTCTAGTGTGTGGTTTGGTCAACATATTTCAGCCACGTTATTGTGACTCCTCGTCTACATCAAAGTACAAAATACAAAGGGACCTCATTGCCTTTGTATTTCGGCCCTTGATCTCTAAACTTAGATTTTAACACTCCCGCTTTGCTGAATAAATCAACTTTGACATTTTCATCCTGATTTTTCCGTGAGTGATTATTGTTTTTTCTTCCTTGGATGCTGAGTAAGTCTTTTTAATCCCTAGCCATCACCTCTCAGCCATAGTTTCATTGGCTTTATTTCAAAACAATTAATTAGCTGTATTGAGTCTTCAGACTGTTCTAGCTGTCTCCTCCAAATATCCAGTCTTCTAATATCTACATTAGAAACCAGGATAAAACTGTCATTTGAACAACTTCCTTGAAAAAACAGTGTTGTGTACTACCATCCACCAGCTCTGAGAACATTTTTTTGCGGTTTTATCTCGTGCTAAAATATATCCGTACTGCAAGCCTGGATGGGAAATACATGCAAGTACTGTATTCAGTCATGCTGGTTCTCTCAACTGAGATTCTTGAAATGGAGAGGACAGCATCGAAATACACAGAGAAGGCAGTGTCTGGGATGCTCCCGGACGCAGGTTCGAATCCTCGTCACGGCCCTTTTGGATTTGTTCAGCATCGAAAGCTGTACGAGGCTTGGCCGTGTTCTCATCGCCTCACTGTGAGGAATCTGACTTGGGTTCGGAGAAAATCTATTTGAATTTTTTATTTTGAAAGGAATCAATGAAAAGATGAACGTCCTTTTTTTTTTAACTTCAACGACTTAATACCCACCACGGATAGATAAAAGTAGGTTCAGAGATCAACACTAAAGAATGTTTTAGGAATTTGAACTAAACATTGGTTAAGGTACCTTTACCAAACAAAGGTTCTGAATCTTTGCTAAAATAAAGGCTCATGAGTCTATACAGAACAAAGTCTCAAGAATGTATACTAAACAACGTTGGCAAAACGTGTATTTTTGGCTGTATTTATAGTGACAATAGAAGGTAATAAAGAAAGACACGCGAAACTATTACACCGAGAAGTATAATAAAGTGGCAGTGATAACAGTTTGTCATACA